ACGACGCGGTACACGCCGTCGAGCAAGTTCATCCTCTTGATGCTCTTGGGCGAGCTCAACTTCATGTTCATCGGGAGGGACTGCGACCGGTGCATGCCCGTCTTCTCCTGCCACCAAATTAGTTCGGATATGTTCACGGTCGTCATAATCCAAACAAAGAAAAATAAAACTAGATCAAAATGCTTACAGCGGCGGCAGGAACACTCGGCGGCGCCTTGTTGGCGGCGTGCACGGAGGCCGAGAGCACGCCATCGTCCGCCCCGGGAGCGACGAGGTCCTAGCGATCCTTCCGCTGAAGAGCCTGGAGAGGGACGCCTCATAGCCTCTGACCGACGACTTGAAGCTGCCCCCTCCCGGCAGGAGGCTCCGCACCGTCCGCCTCAGCATGAAGGACGGCGTGCGCTGCGGCGCCGGCGGCTTGCCGGAACGAAATCTGAGCCGGACTTTCTGCTGGCGTTGGAGCCCGGTGTTGCTGCTACAGCTTCTGCCTCTGCTACCGCCGTCGGTGTGAGGGGCGCGCTGCTCTCCGCCGGGATGTCGATGGAGTGGTGCGGCGGTCTCTTGGGCTGATGATCGTGAGGCGCAGGGCCTCCTCCTCCTCCTTGCATTGGATTTGTTATTATAGTATTACTACTCTCCTGCAAATCGAAGAGGAGGAAGAAGAAGAAGCAGCAGAGAAAAGCTTCAGCTCAACTGAAAACAGGGTGAATCCACATGAATCATGGCGGACGCGCAAGTGAGTGACCAACTAAGATCAGCACATATGCATGTACCAGTACCGGCGTCGGTGAAGCGAGGTCTTTGGCGCCCGCCGTGCATGGCCTCGCATCCGGGGCTCGAATGTCTTTCCTCAAGAGATGTGGCAGCGCGCCGAGCCGAAGATGCGGCCGGAGCGCGGGCGGGTTGCCATCGCCCGCACGGCTGCCATGCCGGCCCTCGAGCAGGATTTCCGCGGGCGTGTCTTGTACGCCACCACACCGTCGGTGACGGCGGCCTGGCCGCCGACGAGCTCGATGAGGCAGTAGCGCTACCTGTCTCCTCTCCCATCGGCAACGAACAGAGGGAGTAACAATGCGGCATTACGTGAGAGTTCAGGGGGCTATCTGCAAAAATCCAGCCCTCCACAACTGCCATGTGCGCCGCCCGTAACCTCAGAACAGAGAAAACCGGGCGTCCGACCAGTTCAGCTCGCGTGTGTGACTTAAATGCACCAGCAACGCAAGTTCTGTGACGGGTTTTTTCAGGTTGCAAGTTGTGTGACTAAAGTGCACCCGCAGACCAAGTTCTTAGACCGCGAGTGCCATTTACTCATAAATGCTCGATTCTGTTTGGAAACAGATGTTTTATGGAACGCCAGGTGCAGTTTCCCTCCAAATTCTAGCTGAATGCTTTGAGGATAAGTAATTGGCGGCTCCCAATCCATGAGGGTGCATGAAAGCGGGGAAATTCTAAAGCATGTGAAAGCTAAGGTTCTTAAATACCTTGCCGATTGGGCCGAGAAATATTTATCCAGTGAAAGTAAGGAAATTATCATCCAATAGTTCACCTAGGCTCTTCATACTTACATTATGGGTTATCTAAATTTCCTGTGGGTCTTTGTCATGGTTTGACACAAATCATACTTTTTGGTAGGGAGATGAAAAAAAGACGCTTAATGGAGATCAAAATGGTCTATGACCATGTGGATTGGTGCTTTTGGAATGATGCTTAATGCCTCCGGATTTTTAGCCATTCAGATAAACTCGATCATGCAATGTGTTATGCCTGTAAAATATAATGTGCGATTTCGTGGGTAGTTGTGTGAGTCTTTTGGGCCTAATCAAGGGATACGCCAAGGCAACCTCTCTGACCTTATTTGTTCCTTTTTGTAACGTTTTGTCTCTTGTCTTGCAGGAGTTTAGGATATGTAGACAAAGCGTGGGGTAGTTCATCTCTTGTAAGCACATAATAATACCTTTTCTTTCGTGCCATTTAGATCAAGCCTTGCAAGTTAAGCACATTTTGAAGAAATGTGAGATGGGTATCGGCCGATTCCCGAGCCCAAACAAATGCTTGGTTTTGTTTCGATACAAATATTCTTTGGAAAGTTTTGAGGATAAGTAATTGGAGCTCCCAGTTTCGAAGGGGCGCATGAAAGCGGGAAAATTCAAAAGCATTGAAGATAAGTTTCTTAAACATCATGTTGACTGTATTGAAAAGTTTTTATCTAGTGGATCTAAGGAAATTATCATCAAATAGGTCCGCTATTCGTATTTGTACTGTGGGTAATTTCACACGGGGTGTTGACACAAATAATATTTCTTGGTTGGGAGATGAAAAAGACCTGATAAAGTTCATTGGCTGTCTTGAGTCAAGATTGCTAAACCAAAAGGTCACCGAGGAATTGGTTTTTGAGATCTTGAACTGTTTAATCGAGAAATTTTGGGTAGACAGGCTTGGGGGCTCATATCAATTTTCTATTACGTATGTGTCGGTTTGTCAAAAGCAAAGTATTTTCCTCATGATCATCTTTTGGACACGACAGTGGACAAGGTATTATCTATGGCCTGGATTTCTGAAAAAAGGTATTATATAAGGGGTCCCAAGAGATAACTAGAATCTTCAGGCTTACTGTTTGAATATCACTAGTAATAAATTGGGAAAAGTATGTTTTTGGTGCTTTAAGTTCCCCAAAAGTGTAGACTTGGTCCCTCAAGGTTTTTTGGTAGACATTTGGTCCTTCAAGTTTTAAACCAGATAAGTTTCGTCCAGAACTAGATTCTGAACATGTTCACCGGTTTGATCGCCACATAAGTTGTGTTTGATGAACAGTAAATTAAAAAAAACTGAATTCTTTTGGCATAAAAAATACACGGATTCATGAAATTGTGTTGTTTGGACACTCGAGGAGCTCTTGGCGAAAAAAATATGTAAATATGCTCGTGCAAATTTTCTCCATCTTTGGACATCCAAGGTGCCCGTGGCAAACAGAAAATGTTGGTTGACAAAAAAGTAACTATTTTTTTGGCTAGAGCTCCTTGGTTGTCATTTGACCACAAAGAATAGCCAAATAACAATGAAAATTTTGTCAAAAAAAGATGGCAACCAAATTTATGCATAATGAACACTAAAAAAATATTGAAGGCCGATAAGTCTTGTACGTTTGGGATTTACCCATGGCAAATCTAATGTTTTTTTGTGGCAATTTATATACGGGAGGGATGGCAAATTTAGTTGATAAGCATGTCAATTCCTCTTCAATTTGTTTTTTGCCAGGGAATTGCCGTGCTTGTCAACTAAACTTGTCATCCTCACGTCAACTAAATCTATACCTACTATTAAAGCAAGGTGATATTCTTGGTTTCGTCCCGCTTGGGTGTCGTTTCATATTTTAAATTGTGGCTACTCGAGGTGGTACAAAATTTAGTCTGCCGGTCCGATACAAAAACTGTAACAAAAATTCGTACGTCGCCATAGCAAGCCGAGATGGGCCGGCCCATTGGCGGACGCTATACCACAGCGCCAAAGTGTGCTCTTGTCAAAAAATAAAAAAAGAAAGAAAAGTGTGACATCAGGAATCGTACCGGGGTGGTAGAGGAGGTAACTGGGACGTGTTATCCAATACACTAGACAACTTCGCGTGTCAGCTTCCAAATCTTGATTTATTATTAAACAATACAAGCAGCAGCACCTGATCCAAACACATACGTGAATATTTTGCAAAGTTGTGAACACAAAATTTAAACTCGATCATTTTTTAAAAAGAAACAAGTTTTTAAATTTGGACTTTCTGTAAAATATGAACAATGTTTTTTAAAAAATAGGAGGTATTGTACTCGAATTTTGAATATTTTTTAAGCACGAACATTTTATAAAATTAAAACATGATTTAAAAAAATACTAAAAAATGATTCAACGACGTGATTCTGTTTTTAGATGGATCCAGACGTGATTCTCCTATTTACGTAGAAAGAAAGTTGTTTCTTTATTACTCCCTCCGTTCACTTTTATAAGACGTTTCAGGCAGTTTGACATTGAACTGTTTTAGGTGATGTCTGAATTGTGTACAACGTCTTATAAAAGTAAACAAAGCGAGTACAAAAAATGGTAGGATTGTTTCTGGGGCAAGCCTCGATTGCTCATACCTAAAATTCATATACGTCATCCTCATCTCGCATGTTACACCTTTCCCTCGGTGACCCCACCTGGTTTTTATCTCAAACCAAACGATCACCATTTTCTTCACAAAAAAGGAAACAATGGCTGCAATCAATCGACGATGATCACAATCGACACCCCTAACCCTACGAACCCTTGGCTCTCTGTCCTTCCAAACTAAGTTTCTATGGTTCTGGTTGTGCCAACCCAATTGCTGCCGCCACTTAGGATGCCTACGGCGAGCTGGAGGATGTGGAGGCAGTGGTGATAGTCACAAATGAGGCGAAGGAGCTAGGCAGCATGAGCGTCGCGGATGTGCACATGTGGCCTGAGTGCATCGATGATATGGGGCGGCTCATGCAACGATGATGGTGAAATCATAAGGGCGTCTTGCATGATGATAGGGAAATGGTGGAAGGATAACGGGGATGGTGAGATTCTATGATGATAGTTTCATACCCGTTGCAACGCACGGGCATTTTTGCTAGTTTGTTATAAAAAATGTTCGATTTATCATGGCAAATCCCGTCGTTCGGGATCCTCACGTCAATTTCTGAATTTCGTTATTAACACTAATTGGCTGCCATAACAAACATATTTTTTTTCCCGCAAAAAAAAACAAACATATTTTAGTACACACGGTCGGGATCGACGCCAGGCAAAGTATTCGTTGTTACAAACCGGTCCGGATCATGATTCACGAGCCCTTACTATCATACGGACGTTGACAGACTTGACATGGTGAGTTGGTGACATGATCCTCGCTACTGAAAAGGTGCATGCCTAGTGGTGTGGTTGACTCACGCTCCAGCGAAGGGACGCGCGCAGCTCCCCTGACGAAGATCATGTCCTGGCACCGTCCGTCAGGTCTTCAACTTCTTCTTCAACGGCACGGCCTCCAGTCCGCCGTGCGGAGCTCTGACGACCTCGTAAGGGACGTACGTGCCCATCAGCTTGTCCCACGCCACAAAGAACAGCTGCGCGTAGTTGCAGCGGCCACCACGAACCTGGTGGTGGACGTCGTGGTAGGCCGTGTTGTTGCGGAACAGGAGATGCAGCGGGTTGCCCGGGACAAGCACGCCGGAGTGGTCGTCGACGGCCTTGAGAGTCGCGAACGAGAAGAAGGCGGCGGCCGTCAGGGGCGCCATCCCCGTCACGGCCAGCGCCAGCGCGCCGCCGGCCGTGTCCAGTATCAGGCCCTCCAGCGGGTGGTTGTACTGGGCGCCGTAGGCGTACGGCGCCACCAGCCGGTGGTGCCAGGAGTGGACATGGCGGTACAGCAGGCCGCTGCTGTGCATCAGGCGGTGCCACCCGTACTGCCACGCGTCGAGGACCACCATGGCGACCATGAACTGGCAGCAGACGACGGCCACGGCGGGAGTGGCGGCGCCGGTGCCGGCGTCGGCAGCCCGGCGATCTTCTCGCTTCACCTGCGTCCAGTAATAACTTGAGTTCAGTTGCACGGCCACCTGAGTAGCTAGCATCGATGAATGTGGTACACCTGCGCTTACATTGAAGACGGCGAAGGCTATGGCCGCCTGGAGAACGTGCTGGAGGAGGACGGTGCGGACCACGACACGCTTGGGGACGAGGTTCCTGACCTCCTCCTCCTCCCTCGAGTGGAGCCTGTGGTCAGCCAGTACACGGCCGAGCACCGTGTACACGCCGGCGGCGACCCAGTACACGATGATCGGCGCGAGTATGGCCACCACCTCCTCGGAGGGCAGCGCCATTCGCGCGTCGTGGAGTCTCCAGGGAGACGGGTCAATGGGGAGCTGGATTGCAGTGGAGTCTCTGGAATCTCGAGAGATGGATCGATGGTCAGCTGGGTTGCACAGAGGGTTGCCTCCGAAAAATTGGGCATTTATAGGCTGAGGACGCCGAACTTCAATCTGCGCTGGGCAGGATTATCATTTGTTGACGGCATGCAAGTGCAATCATGGGAGTGTGCCTGGGTATGTTGGCGTGCCTTGATCATCTAGGTTAGTCAGTTTCTCTGGGATAATCCCTGCTGGGCTCTATCTGGGCGTTGTAGCTGGCGAAAGTCCTCTTCTGCTCATGAGCATCGATGCACCTGCCTGAGCAATAAAAAGAAAATTAACGGAAACGGTTTTCAAAAAATTATGATTTTTTTTATGGCAACCAATGTTGAATTTTTCAAGTGCTTGCAAAGTTTCGTTGTGCAATGACATTCGCGAAAGTGGTGGAGAAAAATAGCATTCCGCGAATGAGAGTCCATGCTGGTGTTATTTCTAGATAAGCATTCCTTGGACACAAGGAAGTGTTTTTAACTATGTCGTTTTCATCGCATGCGAAAGCACGAAAGAGGTCTATTATCTTCTGACCGATCCCTTATACAGTTTTCGAGGAATAAAAGTTCAGTTTTGCACTTCTAAGCCGTTCCTACCCAATCCCTTATCGGTATTAGACCACAGCTGCACCGACTTTGGAATATACTTGTCTCATCGGCCACCACACGTCCCGCCGACACCACGTAGCACCCACTGCGCTCCTCCCCACTTCGATCCGATCACTTCTTGCCATCGTTGCCTGCTATAACTTTGCTATAGCTGATTTGAAAGTCCGCCGCTATTTGACATAACCCACTATTTAAAATATTAAAATCAACACATTTATGCCCGTCGCAACCGACGCCGGATTCAACTCACCCCGGCCCCGGCGCCATCGCATTTTGGCTTTGATTTGTCGACGACTGAACCGCGCATCCACCTCAAAAGCTCTGCGCCACCTGGCGGTATGTCCTGCTCCTATCGGCGCTTGCCTATCACCCGTCAACCGACCGCCGGCGCAACCACATCCGCTGGTCGATCGGGCTCAGCCATCGTCGAGCAGCTCGTCAGCGAGCCTCTACCGGTCATCAAGTGTGATGATTACTTGGGGTTGGGTATGTGCCACATCTCGAGAACATCCAAACATCCGGATGGGTTTTCTACAAGTGTGAAATCGACAGAGTGAGTTCAATTTTGTAAGGTTGTTCTTCGGATTCGTCACAATTTTAAACTCATTGTTTGCTTTTAATTTTAGGGAGAAAGGATGCAAGTGATGGTATTGTAAATAAGAGTACATTGATCTATATATTGATAAAGAGAAATCTACTAGATGTTGATGTAGACTACAGAGAAGATACAAGTATGCCAGCTTGAAAAGCCAACGGAGAAGAGTAAGAATGTAGGCAATGAACAGGAGATAAAAAAGGTATTGATCAGACTAGTAGAAGCGGTCAAGGAAGTGGTGTTTCTATTCAAGTGTGTAAATTTTCGTGTAGTTTTCTTTGGCTTAGTGCTCTTAGCAAAGAACTGATGAAGTATGTGACCAACATGTCGTTTGATGAAGCAGTGAAGTTTAACTCGATGGCCTAAAAGTAAATGAATTTGTGATAAAAATTTGTGAGGGAGTTAAGTTTTTGAAGGGAGCACAATTTTTCAAAGCAAAAAATATAAAAGGTTAAAGAATAAAAGATTGTAGAGGCCTAAATTACAAGGGGTCGGTTAGAGATACTCTGACGCACACCAAAAGAGAATTCTGTCTATCTAGCAATAGCAAGTGCAACTGCTAGTGCTATTTCTAGATAAGCACTCCCTGGACACAAGGAAGTGTTCTTCTTTTTAGCTATGCCGTTTCCATTGGAATGCATACTGGAAGAGGTCTGTTAACCAATCCACAGCAAAAGAGAAGTCTGTTTAACTAGCAATAGCAAGTGCCGTTTCCAGATAAGCATCTCTTGCACACAAGGGACTGTCATGTGCGTACGTGCTGGGGCGACAAACCTGGTTTGCTGCTGCCTAGCTGCATGCAGCGTAGCTGCGATCAAGAGAGCTGAAGGAGGTGGAGTCATTCGATTTGCGTATGCTTTTCTACGCGGACATAGAGCTTAATGGAATCTAGCTGCTCGCTTTGGATTTCTTCTTTACATACATCTGAAAGTTGTTGTCAGTTACAGACAGAGAGCAGGAGTGATGGGGTGGATCGTTGTTCGTTTCTGCAGAAAAGTGTAAGAGCATCTCTAGCAGATCCTGTAAAACGCGGACCCGCATAAAACGTATACAGTTCATGGAAAAGGGCTATGCGGGCCGCCCGTAAAAAAGATATTCACAGAAGATACTTTTTTACGGGGCTTGACTGATGTCAACGCGTTGGTGTCCAACAAGTTCACGACCTCGGCAGTGGCATTGTTCGAACCACCGCTATAGTGAGCGACATTAAGTCACGAGCTACCGCTATGGCGAAAAGCAAAGAAAATTGAAGGGACCTAAGAGGCATACCTTTCGGCCATTTCGTCAAACACCTTGCTAGCGGTGGAAGCAGTGCCGTTGAACGGCATCGTCGGGGAACCTCTTGCTGGGGCGGAGGGAGTGGATGAAGGCGCTGGCCTCGTTGTAGGAATCTTCTTCCGCTTCATGGCCAAGACCTTGCCGACCTTCCGCTGCCGACAGGGATCGCGCAGCGGCGTTGGCGCCAGAGCACGGGCCTTCTCGGTGGGGCCAGCCGGATTCCCACCCTGCACGACCACGTTGCCCTGCCGCTTGCGGGCAGGCGCAGTGGTGTTTTGAGCGACGACGGGAGCAACATGGCCGGCGACGAGATCCGTCGGAGGGGATTGCGCGTGCGCGACCTCAACGGTGATGGGGGACGGCTGGGAGGCTTCCATGGCGGAGAAGAACTGCCGGGGAAGATGCGCCGGAGTGGGCGGTGGCGGGGGCAATGGCATCAAAGAGGTGGGGGAGCGGGAACGGCCACACGGAAATTTTCTTCGCACCAAATCTCGCTATGGGTAGGGGCCGAGCTCGAGTCGGCCTCCCACCCCGTGAATCTAAAGATTGAGGGAGATCTTTACGGGTCGGACGCGTTTACAGTGTATGGTCGGGCATGATTTTTCGTGCCGATATGTATTTTGACGGTTATTTTACGGGCCGCGGCTTTATAGGGGGTCTGCTAGAGATGCTCTAACCGAAGCAGAGTATGTTGCTATGATCCAACACAATTTAGGGGAGTATAAAGGAGTGGCAAACAAATTAAAAGAGGTAAAAAATGGGGAGGAAATTTTAAAAAAGGTAAACAGTGGCACAAATTTACTTAAACTAGGCAAAAACGTGATAAGCCTGCTAAATGGGATAAATGATGTCATAAAAAAACTAGAAACTATTTTTTTAGAAAAAAACTTTGAAACTCCCGGCTTCTGCACCAAAAAGATGCACACAAACATGGACCTATGAGGTAACAAAATGAAATTCACTCCATATATTGAAACATCACCAAACCTCGTGTTGCTAGGACGCACCAGCACCACCGTAGTGGCTTTCGTCCACGGCCACGGGTTGCTCGCTCGTGCCGACGCCCGTTCGGTTCGGTGCCAGCATGAACATAGCCATTTCCTATTCGGTGCCTTTTACCAGGTAAGCTATCTCAAAAAACAACAACCAGCAAAAACAACAACTATTCGGTGTCTTTTGTACCGGTTAGGGCATCTCTGACAGATCCATAAAAGTGATCAAACACTTCAATTTGTAGTATAGGTTGAAAAAGACACACTGAATAGATCCCATAAAATATTTTGTAGGTCCCCATATATTATCATTTACATACCCCATACTTGCAGTTGTTGGGTTGATTCTGAAGGTCAATCGTAAACAAGTCAACGATGGAGCAGGCGCTTGATGGCACAATGCACAAGCAGGGAGTAGGCGGAGAAGCTCGGCAGCGGCCGGCCGGAGCGTCGCCGGAGTAGGCGTTGGCATGGGCGGCCGCCGGGGGCACGATTGGCCAGGGACATGGGAGTGGGAGGCTCAAATTATGAAGTCCATAATCTATGAAGTAGACACCCTCATCTAAAGAAGATGTAAACCTAACTAGATTATGAAGTCCATAATCTAGTTAGGTTTGCATTTCTTTGAAGACCACTTTATAGTTTCCTCCTTCTCCAAGCAGCAATGCTTAAAGCTCCCTATCGTCCACAGTGGGCCGGCTCATATAGTTTTTCTCCCCCGGTTTGGGACCTTTTCCTTGGTTGTTCTCTCGTTCTTTTCGGGACAGGTTTTGTTGGCTTTTAATTTTTTCTTTTTCTTTACATTTTTTCCTTTTTCCTTTTTCCTTTTTTGTTTTATTTTTATTTTTCCTTTCTCTCTTCCATTTTTATTTTTACTTCTGTTTATTGTTTTCTTTTTTGTATGTTTTTAAATCCATGATTGATTTTTTGAATGCGTGAATACAAAAATCATGGACTATTTTTCAAACCCATGAAGTTTTAAAATTCGCTATTTTTTAGAAAAAAATCCACAAACCTTTTTTAAATTCATAATCTTTTTCCAACATGGCAGGCTTTTTTAAAATC